AAAATAAGACAGTGCCAGAATCACTTTCTGGGAAGAATAAATGTGTAGCTTGTTTAGGACTGAGTTGGTTGTTAAATATAGCTTTGATTCCTTCCCCTCCTCCAGCCAAGAACCACATGGTAGTTTTGTTGATAATCTACCACCTTATCTTTAAATGGTAGCTTGTGTATTCTCCAGTTCTATTTTCCAGATTGTTGCGGCTTTGTGGCCTTGGCTGAAACTGTGTGCCTCTCCTGTGTTTGACCCACTCTGTCCACAGTGTTTCACTTCAGTTCATCAGACAGCACCTGATTAGGTGGCTTTCTGTCATCCATTCCCTACACGTCTTGCCTGACCTTAGCACGGTGGGGCTGGCTGCTCTCCAGAACCTCATCATGGAAGCAGCCGCCCTGACAGGGGAAGATGTGCTTGGTTCATCTTTAAACATTTTCAAGGAGTGGGACTGGATGTCACAAATAGGTCAGAGGCTCAGTCACATGTAAAGTGTGACAATGATGGCATCCTGAAAAGTCTTTAACTTATCAGGCAGTACTGTTTCTCTCCAACAGAGACCTTGAAAACGGGGAGACATGCTTTGGGATCTCGTCTCTACCATCTTGCTAGCTGTGAAACAGGAATACTAACTGTAAAGTTCCAAGAAAGTTTCCTGGCACAGTAAAAGTAGGCTCAGCAGTTTATGTTATTTCTAAAAATGTATTAAATATTTATCTTTGCAAGGCAGGGTTGGGTAGCTGGAGCACTAGATGGTATGTAAATATCAAGAGGTGGATGCTCAGGGTGTTTACTATTTTACAAGGGAAATCTTGGTAAATTTTGGTAAAATCACTTGAAATAAAAACTAAAGAAATTTCCCCTTTCCTTTATGTATACACTAGAGATGGTAATTTGGACTTTTCAGGGATAGAAAAAGAAAACTTAAGTGACAGGACAGATATTGAGCAAATGCAATTAATGTTTGGGAAACTGCAGAACCAAAGTTGTCTGACTCAGAGACCACATTAAAGGGAACGGAGGAGATAATTTTGGAAAGATAGGTTAGGCTATATCTGGTGGACCTTAGATCTCAACCTCTATGATCAGTGTGGTGGAGCGGAGGGAGACCCCGGCTCTGGAACAGGAATCTCAGATTCCTTTCTAGGCACCTGGGAAAAGATGGCAGAGCAACCAGGTTCTAAAGATGCATTGCTTTGGGTTCAAATCTCAAAGTTTCTACCTATTAAGTCTGTGATATTGACCCAAGTGATTTCCCCCTTCTAGCCTCTAGACTAGACTATACTTCTTAACATATAAACTTGTTTATAAATTTGGTTGTTGGTTAGGGACTTTGGGAAGGTCATGTACACACTGCTATATTTAAAATAGATAACTAATAAGGACCTATAGTATAGCACATGGAACTCTGATCAATGTTATATGCCAGCCTGGATGAGAGAGGGGTTTGGAGGGAATAGATATATGTATATGTATGGTTGAGTACCTACGTTGTTCACCTGAAACTACCACAACATTGTTAATTGGTTATACCCCAATACAAAATAAAAGTTTAAAGTTTGGAAAAAAAAGTTTGATTGTTGGAAAATGGCAAAGGTTTTTCACAGAAAAACATTTTTTTTTTAAAGTGGGAATGTTTAAAAGCTTGGAAATGACATAATTAAACAAAATAATCAAATAACTCTTTGGTTTCCATGCCACTTATAAATGGATACGATTCTAAGGAGACAGACCTAGTAATATTACCTAGGACAGCCTGAAGGAGTAAAAGACTAAAGGTAAGAACATCATTTGACTTTGGGTCTAAAACGAAATGACAATTTGAAGAAAGTAGCATTTTAAAAAGAGAGATCAGAGGGACAATTAAAAGGATTTGGCAACTGACTGAATATCAGTTCGAAAACTAACAAGCACAGGAAGGATTGCTTTAATTTACATGCTTTTTTATATTAAATTATTTAAGTGACCTGATTTAGTGATAACTTTTAATTTTGCATTACTCAGTGCATGTGGAGTTTCTAGTGATATACGTATATTGGTATATGCTATTGATCCAACAAATATTTATTGTGGACCTAGTACATGACAGATAGTGTTCGAGGTGTTAGGGACAAGATCTCTGCTTTTCCATTCCAGGACTCTGACAGAATGAGAGAGAAACAGGAAACAAATGAAGAAAACAATAGCTGGAAAAAGAAGTATCATGAAGATGAACTAAGCTGATGTGATAGGGGGTAGCTGAGAGGCTAGTGAAAGAGCTCCTTTAGGAGGACACATTCAAGCTGAGGCGAATGATTGACGAAATCGGCAACATGGAGCGCCATGGCAAGAACATTTCAGAAAGAGAACACAGATAAACAAAGGTCCAAGGATGAGGATTATGCCTCAGTGGGTTTCAGGATTTGAAAGAAGCCAGCCTGGCAAGGGCATCATGACTTAGGAGGAGAGCAGTCAGAGATGAGAGGAGAATCTGTGCTAGTTCACAGCTTGAGACCAACTCCAAACACTCATTCCTCATCTCTTGGCCTCGTTGCAACTTTACAGTCCAGTCTATGACATCCTTTGCAGCTAGAAGAGTTAATAAAACCACATTCGTTCTCCTTTTCGGGTATTAACTTTGGGAAAATGTTCAAACTCCCAATTTTCCAGAATAGAAAGCTCAGGGTCAAAGATGTTGTGTGCAACTTGCTCAGGGTCACGCAGTTTGTAAATAGCAGGCCCAAACTCAAATCAGGTCTATGATCCAGGCCCAGAGAAGTTTCCACTTCCCACAGGGTCACTTTCCCTTATGTAATCGTAAAGAATCACAGTCACTGACCTCTTCTCAGAGAGCCTGCAGGAGAAGCCTGTAATCTGGGGTAGGGGTTTTAACCAAACCACAGGGCAAGAGTCCTCTACTTATGGCTGACCTGCACTAAGGTTGAGAGACAGAGAATTAGAAGAGAGCACCTATTGGAGGAGAATTAGTAGAAAGATTCATTTTCCTTTGCCTGGGAGTCTTACAGCTGTCCCTTGTTTTCATAATCCCATGATTTGATGATTTTACAACAATTCAATTTTATGGATCTGGACTGAATGGAATATGCCATAAGAGACCATGGCATCTTAGAACAAACATGAAACGTGGTAAACAAACTGATGTTTCCACATGGGCACTATATTAGCTATTTCTGCACTTTGCCCTTCCATTAAGTTAACTGCCAGGCCTGGCCGTTACAATCCAGCCTTCATCCCTCAATTACAGCCACACATTAACTCCGGACATTCTATGCCTTTCTAATAGAGCCATTCTCAGGCAGGACTGTGAGTTCTCCTAGGAGCGTCTCCCGTCTCTTCTCTTCCCATCTTGAACCCCCTCTGCTACTTGCAACTCTGAGTTCTGAACATGCTTATCACGAAGCCAGTTGCGGTGTCTCTTTATGGTGCATCCTTAAACCCAGGCATCCGTGTAAAGGAGAGCCCTAGTTATACAGACACATTATACTTCTCCCCTTTCAGAGAGAAGCTTTTCGTGCTTGTTGGGGGGTTTCTGTCTGATGCAGAGGGGCGAGGAAGAAGAGTTGGCTGGCTTTGGGGAGCAGATTTAAGAGTCACTTCTCATTGGAGGGGCTAGCTTTTTCCTGAGCTGCCAGACACTGCAGGCTCAACTGAGGCGCGGAGGTGCAATTCAGGCTGGTGAAACAGCGGGGGAAGCAGGACAGGCGGGGCTAGCGCGGCTCTGCAGCGGATCACAAGCACCCGCACACACACCACTCTCCCGCCGCCCCCGGCTCGCGCCTCGCTCCTTCCCACCCGGGCCGCAGAGACGCGGACCGGCAGTGGGGGGCCAGGGGGGTGGGGAAGAGGAAAAAGGCAGGCGCCGTGAAGCCGAGGAAAAGCTGGAGCGGCGCTGGTATTTCACCTGAGAGTCTGACTCGAATCCCGAAGCTCAGACCCCCTCCGGCAGCACCTTTGTCGCCAGCCAGGAGAACGCGGCGGTGCCCAGGAGCCCTCGAGTCCCGCTCCCAAGTCTTCCCGTTGCCCGGTGCACAAGGATCCTCCCGGTGGGGGCCGCAAGGTGCCCCCAGGAAGGCGCAGAGCTTGGGGGACCGGCGCTGGCGCCCATCGTGGTGCGCCGGGAAAAGTGGAGGCGAGAAGAGCCCTGAGCGCAGAGTGCGAGGCCCGGCGGCCGCTGCCGCCCGCGGCGCCGCCTCCTGCCCTCTCCCCTCGGGTGAGTGCCGGGCGGCAGCGCACCGCCACGTCTCTGCCGGGCGCGGGGGCGGGCGGGGGGCCCAAGGGGGCGCCCGGGGAAACTCCGCGGCCGGCGGACGGCAGGCGGACGCGTCTCTGGAGTCCGGAGAGGGGACTCTGAGCCGGGAGGACGTGGGTAGGGGCTGCTGCACCCGTGCCCGGGCAGACATGCCTTTGGGCGGGATTTGGGCCAAAAGATAGGAGGCGGGCGCGCCGGAGGGAGCCGGCAGCCGTCCCGGGGGGTGGGGGGGGGCGGGCGAGCTGGGAGCGGCGGGGTGGGGGGGAGGGTCTGGTCGGAGCAGGTAGTGCCGCTTGGGCAACCCGGCGAGTTGGCCGGTGGGGTGGAACTCGCTGGTCAACTCGTTCATTTTAAAGCAGTCAGTTTGGGAGTGCGGCAGGATAGTCAGTGGGGGCTGTGAGAAGGCGAGAGGTGGCCCCCGGGATGCCGGTGGTGGGGGCAGAGAGGAGAAGCCTGGAAAAGCTTGGAGGCGAATTCGCGCTTGGGTTCGTGGTCCTCGCAGCCCTCCTGCCTTGACTGTGGGAGAACACTTTTTTCGGTTTTAAGACTCAGCGTGGAGAGAAAGCCTCCGTCCCAGGGGAGGAGAGACGTCTGCGGGGGGCAGAGACCGCAGCTACCGCCGGGTGCGCCCCCCACCCCAGGCGCGCCGGCTTTGGTCCCCCCTTTCTCTCCCGCCCCCACCTCCTTATTGGTGCTGGTTTGCAGCGCTCGGCTCCTGCGCCTTCGCTTCGCGTTTGAATCTGGCTCGCCCCTCCGTATTATGTCTGCACTCCGAAGGAAATTTGGGGACGATTACCAGGTAGTGACCACCTCGTCCAGCGGCTCGGGCTTGCAGCCCCAGGGGCCGGGCCAGGGCCCGCAGCAGCAGCAGCTTGTGCCCAAGAAGAAGCGACAGCGGTTCGTGGACAAGAACGGCCGGTGCAATGTCCAACACGGCAACCTGGGCAGTGAGACGAGCCGCTACCTCTCGGACCTTTTCACCACCCTGGTGGACCTCAAGTGGCGCTGGAACCTCTTCATCTTCATCCTCACCTATACAGTGGCCTGGCTCTTCATGGCGTCCATGTGGTGGGTGATCGCCTACACTCGGGGCGACCTGAACAAAGCCCACGTCGGCAACTACACGCCCTGCGTGGCCAATGTCTATAACTTCCCTTCGGCCTTCCTCTTCTTCATCGAGACCGAGGCCACCATCGGCTATGGCTACCGCTACATCACCGACAAGTGCCCCGAGGGCATCATCCTCTTCCTCTTCCAGTCCATTCTCGGCTCCATCGTGGACGCCTTCCTCATCGGCTGCATGTTCATCAAGATGTCCCAGCCCAAGAAGCGCGCGGAGACCCTGATGTTTAGCGAGCACGCGGTGATCTCTATGAGGGACGGGAAACTCACGCTCATGTTCCGAGTGGGCAACCTGCGCAACAGCCACATGGTCTCCGCGCAGATCCGCTGTAAGCTGCTCAAAGTAAGTGCTGTCCGCCCCCTCCCCACCTGGCGGCCGCCATTCCTCAGGCTCGGGGGAATTAACCCACCTGAGGGCTCCCCTCTGGCTCCTAGGCTGTCTGACGCTACTGGCAAACTTGCTTTTTCGGGGTGGAGGATGGGGCAACGAGAGTACAGTCGACAGTTCTGTTCTTTTCCCACCCATTCTCTTGCACTTGTTTGTTTTATTCTTGTTTATATTAATCGGACGTACTTGTATCGCCTCTGGACTAGTAACACTGACCGGGTGGTGTTGCCTCCTGGACCTCTGAGGTACAGGCAGACCCTGTTCTCCTTCCTACCCTGGCTCTTTGCCTATTTAGAGAGCTTTGAATTGTTGTCAGTACACCACTCCAGTAAACTTGAAGTATTAAAACTGAGCAGGCTTTTAGTCTGAAGACAAAAGGTGCTGAACTTGCCTCAATTTTCACCTAAGGCTTTATTTATCTATTTATAGTTCTTCCCTCTCCCCCCACCACCCCTGTCCCGCTCCCTAATAGTATCAGCAAGTGGATTATTACTTCAGACCCAATAACTCTCTGGTCATCTTTTTAACAAGTACACAGATGGGAGAAGCAGTTTATAAAGTGGAAAAAGTAACACCTGGTTGTTGTCAATTTTTATTTTTACTAAATATTATCCTAGAAAAGTATTCTGTGAAAGCTGAGTGCTTTTCCTGCAGTCTCTTTTATTCATTTTATTCTTAATTGCTTGTTTCTGTGAAGCCTTTGTCAATTACAGATTTCACCTGAAACTTCTTAGTGTATATTAAAGAAGATTGCTTCCTACCAACAGCCCTGTAAATGCTGAGAGAAATCGCTTCTGGAGTGCTTTTAAAGCAAGGTCCATCTGGTCGTTAGAGGGCACCACTCTAAACAAGGAGGGAAGCCCACTCTGCTCACTAACCCAATTAGAGTGTGGGAATGAGGGGTACAGGCCCAGTTCTCTCTGTGTTATTTCTAGTTCATCTTTTTGAGGGATTCTCCCTAGTTTTCAAATGTTCATAAAGCAAAAAAGATGACTGCAATACAATCTCAACGATTTCTCTGAGATTCCATAGAAAGTCATAGCCCCATTCACAATTTAGCACTAAAAAAATGAAAATCTAAAGTATTTAGGTTGACATTTTGCCTTTGAGATTTCAGTTCTATGTCCCAGGCCTGTATGGTTTTATACAGCTTCAGTTTACACGGCCGTTAAAGTAGTACCGTGTGCTTTTTAAAAGTTTGGCTCTTGTGTCATTTTTATCATTCATTTATAAGGTCTTGCCCTAATCAATTTTGACTATCTTGCTCAGTAGAGTGTTAGAATTAAAGTAGCTCAGTTGTCCTGTCACTTCACATCATATGCATATTTCCTATGCTACAGACAGTAAATAAACAAATTGTGTGTAGCTTACTGGAAAATTTTTAACCTAGTTCCAATGTATATGTTAATTAAGATAATTGTAAATAAGTAATTTGAGTGGATCATATTCTTTATAAAACTCCAATGAGCTGCATGTAATTTTTAAAACATTTTAACTTAGTGTATCCTGCTATGGACCCCTGTTTGGACTGAGTTATTTGGATCAGGCTAAACATGCTGTAGACGTGTTTGTTGTATGTGCCTGTTTCTATGTATAGAACAAGATACATAACCTCTTTTTTAGGTTAGGTGTACTGGGAACATTTTGTAAATATATAGCAAAAGTCTCTATCGTGGAAGCCATGTTTGTGTGTCACTTTGAGATTCTTACTGAAGAATAGTGTACCATATTGGTTGATCTACTAGAAATTAAAAATTAGACCTTAAAGTCAGTTATTGCTATTCTCTAGTTTTTCAAAGATATAAATACATTTATTAAAACAAATGTCTTTTTAAGGAAACATATTTGGATGTTTTTAGATTGATCAGAAGTCAGAAATAAATAGAATTAATATACATAGCATGTTTTGGTTATTGTTTTTGCTTTTTACAAAGTTATAGTGAATCTGAAGCCCCCGGTCTTTAGTGGTTCAGGACGCTGATAGTGATTTTTCTGCATGAGACCATATAGTGCATGTACTGTAAGAAGTGTCTTTATTAAAAAAATAGATTTCTAGTGTTGGCAAATTTGGAGCAAGGTGCTATATTAACACAAGGTGATTAAAAACATCTAATTAAAACAATATGTATACTATTAAAATTCTTTACTTTTGATATGTTGGGAAGATGTCAGGGTTAAAAGTAAAATTGATTGGCATGTGGCATCAGTTTATATCTAAACAAATTATAATGAAATTCTGTCCTGATTTTTTTGTGAAGGGAGAGGGTTGATGAGTGGCAGCTCTTCATCCAGTCACTTACTTGTAGTAAGTAGTTTGCTTGAAGTTGATTTCTCCAGTAGCCATGGTGACTAAAATGAATTCTCAGAGTTCTTGTCATTTCCTTAGACTTCATTAAAAAGGAGCCATGTTTTATTGGGAAAATGATAACATTCAGCAAAATTAGAGGGAAGATATGCCTTTAGTAAATGACTGTTATTTTCTCTTAGGAACTGAGATGAAGTGACCCAAAGCAGCCAACTATATTTTTAAAGTGAAGCTATACCAAAAGCTTAAAGCAGTAACATTTTGATGTTAGTCTTATGCATTCTTATTAAATATTATTACACATCTCAGTTTCTTCTCTTAACCCATGTTTGACATTTTAAATGTAAAATTTATGTATCTTTAATACAAAGAAATACATAGACTTTTAAGGCAACAAAAGCTTAATATTTAACAATAGTCTGTATGAGTTCTTCCTATTACCTAATTTAATTTCATTTGTATTTTTTTCTATTACTGTTTTCTTATTTGCTGAATAAAGCCTGTTGTAAATATTAATGTAAGAATTCTATTTGATGACTAAAGCGCTTTCTATTCTTGCAAGACAGTAAGAACATTAACGTGGCTTTCTGATCCTTGCCACTATGAGGTTTTTCATGCATTTTTTGGGGTTCTCTTTCTTGATGGAAGTTTTTTATAATTTTCTGCTTAATTATTAGCTGTTGTTAACTTACATGAAAGCAAATTTTATTTCAACTCTATTCCTATCTTCTGAGCTTGCAAATACTGAAATTTATTTTGATGTTTAAATATAGATCTTCCAACTTTATGCTTGGAGTGATCAGTCCTTTTCTACTTAGGAAAAATTTTAGAATATAATTGGAAATTATTCTTTAAAATTTATAATATTATTATAAATACAGCTATAGGAAGCTCTTTTAAGATGAATGGTCTTTCTCTTTTCCTCTTTTCATCCCCATATTGATGTTTTATTTGAATTTTCAGTTTATTTTAGCTGTCTTTTTATTTTATTTGTTTATTTTTTTAGCTGTCTTTTTAAAAAAATCTAAAATAGAGGAACTAATGAATGGCACAGTTGTGTTAAGTTAGCATAACATCCAGTTTAAAATTTTAATAAAAATGCCTGAGTCAGGGAGTTGAGACTAATGGTTGGTACATTGGAGCTTGTAATTTAGTGTTGGGTTAAAAGGATTTGGAAATCTCACTCCTTCCCACAAATCTAACACTGATGGTTGACTGCCCTAGACTTCCCTCTTAGTAGGGAAAGATTTCAACTTCTTGAAGCATCATGTAAGAGCTTGCACACTTACTGTCCGGAAGCCACTGTACTTACATGTATACATGTGTATATGTGTGTGTATGTATAGCTACTCAGTCAAACCTTGTTTACATACAATAAACATAAAATCAACTATTGTTAGATACATAATTTAAAATTAAGTGGTAAGGATGTTTTTCTCATGGAAATATAACTTTATTTTTTCATATTTTTATTCATGGAAAATAGTCAGCATCTTTCTTTCATAGGATGCCAGCCATGTAACCTTTAAGCTCTCACTTAGTGAGAAGTAATGGTTCCCAGTTATCTTTTAATATATCCCTTGCATTATTTTTATGGTCAAGTTTTCTATTCTCCATTTATATGCATACTCAAAATTGGATGTTATCTGGTTTCCTCGTATGATTGTGATCCAGTGCAGATGCTATAAAAAACAAAATTGAATCTGCAAAACTAATAAGCTCTTCATTCTCTTCATATGTCTTAATCTTTTAATCACAGTGATTCCTGGACCATATAATTCCTGATATTTTTCATTTATTTATTAGTTTGTCTTCATTCTATACCTTGCACTTAAATGTAATTATGATTTTGACTCTATATGACCCTATTTTATATGACTGACTCTTTTCCCCGGTTGATCTTGGCCAGTTTGCACTTTAGTTTTAATCTTGAGATTATTAGTCATCTCTTTTAAATAAAATAATTCACAAATGAATATCTATTAAAAAAACACTCTTCTCCTTAACATTATACATGTGACTAGTAAAAAGATTCAAGGAGTCTAAGACTGAGTACCCCAGAACTCTTGGGCTAGATCTTAATGTCAGTGAGGTTTTATTAGGTGGATTTATTATGTCTTATTAAAAAAGTACAGTTCTTATTTAGCCTAGCTTTGCTTTCTCTGACACAAGTACAATAATTCTGTAATAGGTATAGAACTTGGGTTCCTTTTAAAGACTATAATTATTCTTCTTCTTTTAAATAGTAGTAATATGTTGTTTTGTTTGTTTTTTTATTTTGAATATGGTTCCTGCAAAGTACAGGGTGGCTTGTGCTTAGGGGACTACAGCATGAACAGAAATAAGGACACAAAGACCCACAAATACACAGCAGTAGGTAAGAACAAATGAGAAGCAAGGAAAAACACTTGACGGCTTTGAGGGTATTTGGTGAGTAGGAGGAGAATGTGCAAGTAGGGTTACAAATCCCATCCATAGTTATTATAAATTCCGTAAAAAGTCCCCAAGGAATTAAAAAGCTGTTCTTTCATTTGAATGGAATAAAAGCCTCACAAAAATTTATTACAAGATAAATTACATTCCATTCTATAAGTTACTTTCTTTTCATAAAAATGAACATATTTTTATGGCATAATTGGCTTAGCATTGAAAAAAATCTTTATTTTAGGTTTGGTGTTGGTCATATTTTTTCCACCTGAGTATTGATGGAATTTCAAACTTAAGGAGTAAAAAATGTACAATTGTAGTTTATCCAGATGAAATTCTAGGTCCATACTTTCCTCTGCCTGACTCTGATTTTGGTCTGATCCCAAAACCATTGCCAGAACAGCTTTTAGTCACAAGATATTGTTATTCTTTATCCTTGTACCTGCTTTTGGCTCATTTCCTAATTTCAGATTCCACATGGTACCCTGACCTTATTGCGTGTAATTTTCTAACTTCAGCATATATTCAACATACACATAGACACACACATTGCCCATTTAAAGAGAAGTGAAATTTCAGATAGAATAGTGGAGAGATGGTAGGCAAGAAGAGCCACCCTCTCCATCTTCACCTACTTGTTTTCTTTTCCTTTCTGAACCACTGGCGCTCATTGCCTTTTCCAATGGAGACGTATGAAAGGTGGTAGAGGGGTAGATCAAGTCTTAGAATATGATAAAGGTGCATCTCACATGTCCGATGTTAGTGATTAAATGTTTTTTTCTTTTTTCCCGATTCCCCTTGCTCGCCTCTGAGCTGGGAAAGGGCACAATAGTTATAATTATAACACAGTTATGGGTTAGAGAGATGGGAGAAAGAGAGCAAAGAGATTGATTGTGTTGGTAAAGTTTGTCCATGTTGAATGAATGTGGGCAACTGACCACAAATTTCCCAGAAGGAGAATGAACAAATGTAGATCTGGTTATGCCAAAGGCAGTTGTAACTGTATCCCAGAGCAGTGTGTGTGTGTGTATGTGTGTGTGTCTTTGGATATGTACTCAGCAGTCTTTCACTATAGGTAATTTGTCTGTAAAGTACATGACCATGATAATCCCTTCCAAGCATCTGTGACTTTTGGTTCTTTTTTCACCTATAGTCAGAATTTGTTATTGGTTATCTTGCAGGCCTTTTTGGACTCTAAGGGAGTTCAAAGTCATTTGACATTAGCTACTTCTTTGAAATTAGTACTTGTGACTATAGAATGAGTCACAAACCTTAAGTTCTAGACGTAGATCCATGTGACTTCTAACTGAAGTATATATAACAGAAATAGTATATTTCAATAATAATATTTTATTACAAAGAATAACTTGGAAATTATTGCCAAGATCTAAATTGTATAAAATCATTTCAAATATCTATGATATTCTACTTATAATTTATTTGGACAATAAATCTAAACAAACTTTATGCCTTAGATTTCCTTGATTTTTCTCTTAATTCCCAGAATTTTCTATATGCAACCAACCAGAAAAGCTTTAAAATTTCAAAGAGATATTTATTTCCTTTTGAAAAGTTATTCTATACAACTGAAAATAAAAGTTATATGGAAGTCATTCTGAGGTCCTAGTGTTTTCAAATTATGTTCTAAATTTTAAAGAATTAACTAATTTTCCATGAGCTGTGTTTCATTCCACCTTTTCCCAACTTATTCATCCAATAGTTTCAAGACTCTAAGTGATTATTTCATCAAGTAAAGTCAACCTCAGAAATTTTAACAATTTACCACATTAATCTTAACCTTTAGCAGGTGTTTTGAATTAATTTTTTTATTTTGACTGTATCTGTTTACATATTTTTATGTAAAAATGATCATGATTCTGTATTCCCTTTGGAATTAGGAGGTTTATACAGCTAAAAGATATGATGTAGACTAGGTGCAAACTGCTCTACTAATGAAAGATTCTTCTTTTATCATAATTCTTAAGATACCATAATAAATTAAGGTTAAATAGGTTTTTCTCTAAATTTTTTCTATTATCAACATTTCTGAGTGAAATACAGTAATTGTTATATAAATAAGATTACTAGAAATAGATGAAATATTATTGCTCCTGATTTATTACATACTCAAGGTACAGATCATAGTTTAAGTTTATAAAGGCACATACATAACTCCTATTTTTTCTTTGTGTTTGTCATGTATGTGTATGTATTACAATTCCTTGAGGAAAAGTTCTCAAACTCCAGTTATACAAGTTGAGAAACTTAAAACTATCATAGGCTTTTTTACCCCCCTTGCTCCAGAAAATCTCTAGAATTGCACCAGAATTAGAAAATCCTAGATTAGAATTCCTTGTAAGCCTAGAATATAATGTGCCTGCTTCTAAAGATATATTTGGTAGGCATATATCAGTTTCTGGAATATTGTGTTTGTCTGAGCGTTGATAAGATAACCTTGCTTTTGCCAGGAGCTCTGACTTCAAACAATTTCAGTTCTACAAGCACCTGCCAATCCCTTCCCAACCTTTAAATAGAAGAGCTTTCTTTTTAATTCACAGTGATTAATAGGCTTCTCAGTCTACTGCAGAGTCAGAGAAGCAAACAGAAATTAGTGAGGTAAGCATATTGATAGTTGAAATAGCTCTTAACCAAACAAAATGGACGAAGACTTGAAAGATAAAAATTGTGGATATATGTAGTACCTCAGAGTCCTTTAAAGAAAGGTTTAGGGTTACCCACTGGGAAATAATTTTCAATGAATGTGCAGAGAATTTCACTTATCTAAAAAAGATGTAATTGTGAGAATCTTTTTTTCAGTGAAATGAAGTATTACTTCCCCTATAGTATCACAAAATAAATGCAGTTGTTAGCTTTGTTTCTGCCAAGACTTAGGATATAAAGCATTTGGAGGAGGGTATAGGCATAATTTTGAGTATATGGAACACATTTTTAAAATCAGAAGATAACATAGAGTCTGAATGGCATAGATTCATGCATATTTAAGTGTAAATTACCTACATGTGAATTAACTGCTTGGCTAAAAATAAGACATTTCTTGTTCTAGGTTGGCATTTTCCTGATAGCCAGTCTGTTTCTAGGCCACTTCTTTCCACGGGTTGTAGAATGAGCAGAGAATATGAAGCTAATAGCTTACTCTGAGAATGAGGCACATGTATAAATAACAAATATATGAGTGAGGGAGATGAATTTCAGTCTTGGTGTATTATATAAAAGTAGAAAAATATCTGTTCTTTGGGGGAAATTATTTTAAAATGAATGGGAAAGTGAGCTTAAAATTATACTTGTGAATATTTTTATTTCATGCAGAAAAAGCAGAGCTTAGAATAGTTGGTAAAATGACCCAAATTCTGATATTAACTATAAATGTCAGAATACCACCTTGTGTTTATATAGCACCTGTTTCTTAGTAGGTGGGAGAACAGTGACCCAGGATTTTTGCTTTGTATTTAGCTTTTATTTTGCTACATAATCAATATAGCTATACAACTGTATACTTGGAAAGATACTGGTCTCATCTGTATTTTACCAATTTGAGAATATATAGTGAAAGATAAGTGAGTTCTGCTGGCTTAGAAATGATTAGTTTTCTCCAACATTGATTGTTAGAGCTGCTGTTTTTATTTTTGCACCATCAGGTTTTTCTGCGTGTGTGTGTGTGTGTTTTTTTTTTTTCCTTGTCAGTAATAATTTTCTTCTTCTTTTTAAAAATTTAATCATCTAATCCTAGGGCAGAGAAGAAAAATAGTCTCTGTCTTTTCATTGGATGTTTTTCCTACTCAAAACTCCTGAGTGTCACTAATTACAAAGTAGCTTCATTAACTGACTAGCTTTATTTTTAAGAATCTGCAATTGCTTCTACAACAATTTGTCACCAACTTTAAAGTCTTGGTTCTATTTTGCTATGGAGGGCAGGTTACTATATATATACCATAGTTCTCAGTGTTTTCAGGCTCATTTACAAAACCTCTGTCTTTTCTGGAACTCTGAGTAAAGACTCTGTGTTCAACCTACTGATTCATTGGACAGACCAGTGTTATGGAGTCTGTTTTGTTTATTAAATTAGCTTTGCAAAGAGTCTCTTAAAATATACTGGATTTTTCCAAACCCCAGTTGACCAGCAGCAAGCCTCCCTCCACCCTGATTTTTCTGTATGTAACTGCTTAACCCAGCTTTTATTTTACCAGCATCATCATATAAACCTAAATACTTGCTTTTTGTGGTCCTTGTAAGTAAGATAAGGAATATGAATATGGAAAGACCAGATATGGAAAATGAATAGAAAAGGGAAATAAGTTTACTTTCATGACTTGCTAATTGTGTATAATCATGTGTATACTTTTTTTTCACCATGTAAGCAGTTTGTTGAATTAACCTTTTCAGTGATTTATATCAAATGCCACTGTCTTATAAAAATTTTAGTAAGCTACAAGTTTGTCTAATACAGATATTTTAAACTACATTTTGACTTAAATTCATTTGAGCATTAATTTTCACTATTTTTACAATTCCTTAAATAGGTAGAGAAATGAACAACTTCAATGCGGTTACTTAGTAGTAGTTCGAAAACCACTAGTTAACAGCATCTGCCTTTATTTTTATTACATGAGCTGTTGTGTATATAACGTTATTTAATATGATAACATCTTCACTATTCTATTCTAGTTTATATCTATTTATTACTTTTCAAAGGTCCTAGAAAAATAAATGATTATGCTTGCTTTATAATAATGCAGTAAATCTGTTTTTAAATTATGATCAACCTTTTATCTTTAACTCCATAAGAATTGCCTACTTATATGCTTTGAGAGGAAGAAACATCTGGCATGCAGTGTGTTATCATTTAGTGATTTATGTCAAGCCGTAGCACATGTACAGTTAGTTCCACAGTTTGTGTTATCAGCCATTGTTGGACCAGGCGTTTCTCCAAAGCTTATGAGTTAGGAAATGGTATTTATAGTAAGTCGTATATTATAAATAATGCATGTATGTTCCACATGAGTTATGTGGGATTTCGGCCCATTTGCTAGAACATAGCTGCATAATGATTTGTTTGGATTTTGTTGCAGATGATTGATAGTGCAGAATGTTGGCAATAATGTAAATTACTGTTGGGCTGCCTTGCAAATTTCAGTACAAGTGGTGATTTCTTCTCTTTTTCTGTGTGCTTGTCTAGTCTCGGCAGACACCTGAGGGTGAGTTCCTTCCCCTTGATCAACTTGAACTGGATGTAGGTTTTAGTACAGGGGCAGATCAACTTTTTCTTGTTTCCCCCCTCACGATTTGCCACGTGATCGATGCCAAAAGCCCCTTTTATGACCTATCTCAGCGAAGCATGCAAACTGAACAGTTCGAGATTGTCGTCATCCTAGAAGGCATTGTGGAAACAACTGGTGAGTAAAAACATAGCTATGCCATCGAATTTCTTTATTCCATGATAAGTTTGTATTATATGCATAGTACCTCTCATAGGTTGGGCTAAATGTCTCAGCTTGCAATAATGAAAGTGATGATTTGTCTGTTATTTCTTTGTAACATTCAGTTGATACTGCTTTGAAAATTATTTATTGTTGTGATGATTGAATGTATAATGTTAACTCAGAAATACTTACTGCAAGACAAAAAAGGGAACTGAGATGACTTCTAGAAATGATTATGATGTTCTAGTTTAATTGTGGAGTTGGATTTCCTATAATCATATTTTTTAAAAGGTTTAAGGTTAAAATAAATTCAGGGCAATTAGTGAGCAGCCTGAACTCAGCAGGCATATTCTTGCCTTAGGGATGGTGATTCGGGTGTCACTGATAGAGCTTTGATATGCTACTAAGTGCAACCTCAGTGGAAAATTCCCTGTGTGTACATGTGTATGTGTGGGTGTGTGTGTGTGCGTGTGCTAACGCAGCATTTTAATTTCAAAGTAGGTCAGTAGATTTCCCCAGCTGAACCTTAACCAAAAATTTTTTAAAAAGAAAATTTCTTCCTTTTCTGCTTTGCTATAGCTAGCTGTGTGCTGTATGTTATTCTTTAAGATGCAATGTTGGTAGTGCTGCAGATACTCACAGTTTACTACTCTCTGGGGAGAACAAGGTTGGCAAAAGAAAAATAACAGTAAATCAGAGTATATTATTTGGGACCTAAGTATTGCCAGTTGGTTCACAATCTGCTGGATGCTTGAGACTAACAAAGGAGTATCTACATAGTTATATCTATCTATCTGTCTATCTCGAGTTTTATCTTTGCTACAAATAGTGAGAAGGCAGAAATATTTTCACTTTCAATTTTTTTCTGCCAATATCATTCTAGTCATCTTAAAGTGCTAGTTATTATGTATAAACTATAGCACTGAAAGTTTTAATAACATTGGCAGTAACATAGATGCGTTCAAGCCTTATGTCAAGGTAGATGTTACATAAGGAAAGAATCTCCCACCTTGACATAAAGCTTTATCCAAGGAGCAGGGGGAGGCAAGCCATTGTAATATTATACATCTGCTACATAATTCATATTTGAAATGTGGGCAAGATACTCAATCTCTATAAACTTCTTTTTCTTCTCTCTAAAAGGAGAAAGATATAATAATCACCTTGAAACCACTTGTTGTATTACTATTATTTTGTTAACATTAGTGCTTCACTTTAAAATTTAAGGTTTAGAGGACAATGAGTAAAGACTTAATTCATCAATCTTTATCTGGAATTTGATTTCTGTGGACAGTTTTATGGTTTAAATTCTCTAGATTTTTAACTTAAAATTGAAATCATGCTATAGTATATTTTTTACAATATATTGATAATGAGGAAACCAATATGTAAAAGCTTCTAGTTCAAGAAATCTTTAAATTACAGTTTTATTTGCCTCGTTTATTGAAGCAATAATATATTGTTAGCACTTAAACAGCAGATGGTTTTTATTGATTTGTTTTTATAGCATATGGTTCTACTTTTGATGCAGCTGCTTATTGTTTATTAATTGCTTATTATTCTAATCACTGCTACAGTGAAGTTTCTGTTTCCTTTGACAGTCTCAGAAACCTTTCACTAGTTCTTTCTGTCTACCTATCTATCCATTCATCCATTTTTCCCTACTTATCTCTAGTTAGTGTGTATCTCTTAAGAATGAGAAAATTCTTCTACAAAATCACAATGTAATTTAAAAAATCAGAATATTAGACAATGATACAGTACTATTATTTAGCGCATAGGCTCCCTTCAGTTGTTCTACTATCAGTTGTTCAAGTAATTTCCATCATGACTATTTTTTCCTGGTTCAACATCAAATTAAGGATTATGCCCTTATTTGTTTACTTGTCTTCTCAGTCTCAGGATGGAATAGTTCCTCATTCTTACTTTGTGTTCTTGACCTTGATGTACTTGAAGTATAAAGGCCAGGTATTTAGTAGAACATCTCTCAACTTGGATTTGTCTGAGCCTGCCTTATTCATTAGTTCTTTCAAATTTTGACTACTACACGGGCATCATAAGGGAATACTGAAGCAGACTGTTTTTAAAATACTCGTATGTGTTCTTGACTGAACTGATGTGTCTCCATCAGATTTCAGAGGATCATGGTTAGTAAATGATATTCTATATAAAGTAATTTTGAGTTTTGTAACGTTAAATTATTCATTAGGACTGTAGATTTCACTTTAACAATTTCTTCGTTCTCCTTTTTTAAAAATAATGAACTGGCAGAGAGTACTTTCCACAGAAAATGTGAAAACTTAACTGGAAACTGAATTTCTTATTTAGAGATTGCCTTTCATGGAGAAAAGAATAAAGTCTACCTCCTCTTAACCTCTTAACTAAGCCTGTTTTCTAGATCCAGTATAGCAAGAAAAACAGCAAAACATTACTCATAATTTATACATGTTATTTCATGGAAAATTTATCTGACATTTTGTTTGCATATATGCCCTAGCTAATTAAATCATGTACTGTTCAAACTCTGTAAAATCTGTCTATATTCTCAGACCTTCCTGAGTCTGGTAAAAATATCATGAATGTTCTTATGTCCATATGATCATTTAAAATTATCCTGAGATTTATTTAGATTCATTTTTCAGGATGTTTCCTCCTTTATCCTTTCATTCATAATACTTTCTCATAATAGTTATTTGCTTAGAGTAAGGCAAATATGATCTTTGGGGATGTTTTGAACATCAGTAATACCATTTTAACTCCAGCGTTTTTTTGTTTGTTTGTTTGTTTCACAGGCTTGTGACTAACTGTTTACTCAATGTAACTTTTCATCATACTTAACATTAAACCACTAAGAGTTTTTAAAATCATTCATTCACTAGATAAATATATAAATGCATGCTCTGTACTTGGAAAATATTTGAAATTCTGGCAATATAAAGCATGCTTCCCAGTCTTAGGTTGACACTCAGGAAAGGTCTCTCCTAGAAGGTGATACCAAGGTGGAGACTTGCCTTTCAAGAAGGACCTCTGGGCCTGTCTAGAGGAGAGCACAACAGAGGCTGAGAAGTGACTGGTACAAGGATCCTGAGTCGGGAACCAACCTGATCGATTCCAGGAACTAAAAGAAGGAGGTGGTGGTTAGGATAGAGTGAGCAGTGTGGAGTGTGGGGTGAGAAGTAGAGAGATGGGGAGCACCTCTACATGACAGACGATTATATTGCATTGCTACAGCAAGTGCTGGGGTTTGATTCAAAAGCAAAGCCTGCATTGAAATGCTAGAGTAGTAATTTAGTCATCTCAAACTCTATATAACTAACAAAAAACATTTTTTCATAAATAAACTGGATTGCATGCAGTTTACTTAAAAACAAGTGACCCCAACGCCTAGGGAATGTGTTAAACTTTTGACAGTTTTTGTATTAAAAGTACTAAACTCACAGCCTTTACCCCCCAGCACAGGCACACCATTGCTCACTTGGCTGCAATCCTCTGATGAGGATCTGATGTCATTTGATTTTTGCCTCTTTCCTTCCTGTAGTCACAGTGGGAGTGGTGCTGGTGATGAGGAGAGGGGGGTGGAAAATTAGAAGCTTTCTCATTTCTTTGAGAGTCTTCAGCTTCCAACTCAAGACTCACAAATAATTACTTTCCCCACCTCCTTGGAAATACTCCTCAGTGATCAAGTTCAGGGATGCTGCTTTGCTTGCTTCTAGTGAGCTGGTCTTTCACTTCCATTAAGGAATAGAACATCCACCTCTTCATGAATAACCTCTGCTTCTTGGCTCACATAGCAAATTTCTAAACATAGGTTACCTCCAACTCTTGCTCTCTTTGCTGCTTCTCCCAGGAGGGAGAGCACTGCTAGCGGCAAACAGCATTGCAGATTTGGCTCATTAGAACTCGATGCTTTCAAACTTCAATCTGCTCTCCGCTACTATTTGGCAGGCTTCTTAATTGTCTTTTCTGCACTCCCAGGCTCTGTCCCCATGAGATCTATTTTAGCCCTTTTCTCTCTTTCCATGCCCCCAGTCCCAGCTGTCCTGTGCCTTCCTTAGCATACTGTCTTTCCACCTAGTCTGTCAAAAAGAATGTGACACTTCAATTTTGATACCTTTTTTTTGCCCTCTTTGTCCATTTCTCATGGCTATCTTCTCTTTTTCTTTGCTAGTGTCTGTGAGTAAAATGTCTTTATTCTTCTTCAAAACCATCTCCTTTATCATTATATTTATTACCTGTGACTCAAGTGCCAATACTTAGCATACCTAATACTTAAAATAACTGACTCTCATTTCTCTTAAATGTATTCCAGTGTTTTCTTCATGAAAAACATCATCCAATTATTTATTCCTTTATACTCAAGGTACTTTCTGGAATTCAGAGACACCACATTCTCTCTCTCCTTCTTTTTTGTTTCTTCTAATTTTTATTTTCCAGTTGTTCCTTATAACCTGTATGACTGCCTCTCCCTGTAATTTTTTCCTGGATTGCTGCCCTTCCCTTCTTTCCTTTTGAATCAAAATACTTAATTTTTTTTTTAATGAATCCACAAAGTACTTTCAAGTCCATTATTTCTCTTATCTCCAGCTATGAGAAGGAAATGGCGACCCACTCCAGTATTCTTGCCTGGAGAATCCCATGGACGGAGGAGCCTGGGAAGCTACAGTTCATAGGGTCACAAGAGTTGGACACAACTTAGCGACTAAACTGCTACTATGAAGTCTCTCACTGGCCTTATATATGCCATCAATTTCCAGGACATTCTTCTACTCAGCTGTCACTTTTTTGATTCAGAGTCAACTTGTCTAAATACCAAGTAATCATCTTACCCTCAAATTACATCCTCATCTGGAAAGTTTGTCCCTTTTAATCATGGCTGTTTTATCCAAGATCTCTTCCCCTTTCTTCCTTTTTTAAAATTATCCAATTAAATCATTTCACAAATATCTATTGAGTACCTGTTACAGGCGAAACAG